CTCTGGCTCTCTGTAAATAAAGCAAAGCCACTTCCTCGTCCGACATTAAACAGAGCCCGACAGAGGAGGGAGGGGCGGGGAGGCTGTCGCCGTGCAGCGCAGCTGACCTGCGTCTGACCTCAAAGTGCACAAGCTTCAAACTTCAGCGTTGGCTGCGATTTTGAAGCTGAAATCGCGTTCAGTGTGAACGCACCATTACATGTACAAATTTAGACTCTTACACATATAATGATTCTGACAGTTATCTTATCCCATAGAACCTAACTGTCAGCTGAGCTCTCAACATTAGTTCTCACTCAGTGAAGCTCTTTTCAGATTAAAAATACCTTTGAGGAAATGTATTTTCAGATGCCAAGTAAACTGCATCATGGCACCTCTTAGTTATTTACAGTACAATCCAAATAAAGACAATGTGATTACCCTGTTATCAACCAGAAGTTCCATTCTTTAATCTGAGAAGAAAGGTGAACATAAACTAATTCTATAGACCTGAATATGACCAGATTAAAATAATTTTGTCCACTTGGTTTCTTGGGTTATTTTGTCTTCATTATTATTTGTTTTGAACCCGTTTTAAGAAACAGGAAGAACCCTGTGGGTTGTAAAACTGAAATTATCAGATGTTAAATTCATGACAATATTTCAATTAATGTACAAATATGAACTTTTGCTGTAACTTTGACAAACTGTTGAATGTGCTGAATGTTATGTTAATCTTGTAAAAATTTCAAAAACTTAATGTCTCTGAAAACATAGCTGACATAAGAATAAATCTGCCTTTTAAAGTGACCCACGATTATTTGTAAAATTAGATTTTATCTGATAAAAATTTATTTTAACTGGAAAAGTCTGTAAAAATACTGCAGGCTGTTTAGTTTTTATAATTTTTTGACTAAATTTTTAAAATATGTTACACGGACAGAGCCATTTTATTTACATGTAAAGCAAACTGGGTAAATGACGTCATTGACTAGTGCCATTTATATTAGCTCAGCTCTACACATTCTCCTCTCGTCACTGAGGACCTCAGTTTAGCTTGTTAGCACTCACGCTAGCGCCGAGCTAATACCGTACATATATAAGGTTAGTGTCAGCGCTAACGCTAAAGCAGTCTAAGCTGGGGTTCTTCTTCCATGAAGTAGCTCTGTTGTCCTCCATCCACATTTTCAGTTGCAGGCTGAGTCATTTCTACCTTCTCCTCTCTGTCAATGCTCTCTGGTTTCATTTAAAAGAGCTAATCATCAGATATTGTCCAAGATTAACCTTCAGGGTGGATAAAGCTGGCTTGCAGCCTCGCACAGATGACCTAGTCAACGTCACCATTTACCCGGTATGCTTTGCGTGTAAATAAAATCGCGCCTTCTGTGATACAATGTATTTTAAAAAATTTACAAATCTAAACAGCCGTGCAGTTAATATACGTTAATCAAATAAAGTCTAATGTTACAAGTAACTGTGGATCCCTTTTACCCTGTTATCAACCAGAAGTTCCATTCTTTAATCTGAGAAGAAAGGTGAACATATCACCTTAATCAAGTTACTTCCTTTGTATTCTTCTGCCTACCTGCAGGCTGCGTCCAACAGTTTCCTCTCCTTTGGATTTGGCACAGGCCAGCTGCTCCCTCAGCATCTCCTGCCTCATGTGGATGGCCTGCAGTGCCTCCTGAATGTCAAAGAAGTTCTCCTGAACAAAATCGAGACCATGACATTCAAATATTTTAGTTCTTTGAACATGTTTTTTCCCAGAACATCTAAACAAGCAATGCAGCAGCAAAATGCACATGAAACAAAAATTTAAAGTTTCAGTCACCTAAAGAGGGACATGAGTCCTAAGAAAGACAGTTAAATAGAAATCAAAAACACTCAGATAATTAAAGAAAAAAATTCTTAAAGAATGGTACAAAACTATCTACACATGAGTTTTGCTTTCAAGGAGCTTTAATATGATGAAAAAAGTACAAAAAATAATAAATGAATGTTAATTTTTTTTAAATTTTGCTAAAAATGTAAACAAAGTTTGAGACCGCAAGTAACACAATAAGAGAACAGCAAAAAGAAAACAAAAATCCAAATTAAAACAACACAAAATACAAAAAGATATACAGTGTACCACTTGCCACAACACCATCTCAAGTTTGTTTTTGTTTGATTTTAGGCACTGTTTGTTATAGCAATTAAAACAACTAAAATTTAAGTATAAAAATAAGATAAATGAAAAAAAAAACATACAACATAAAAACAGGCAAATTATTCAGCATCAATATTTTAATAGGGAAATTATTAATATTACAATTTATGTTGTGAAACCAGAATTAAATTTGTATAACTTTTTTATTTTACCTCTTATTAGTAATCTTCTTTAATTAAGCCATGTAAATTGTATGCACTAATCCTAATATTACCAACTATTTATTTGAAAATTTTTACCTGAGTTTGGAAAGAACCTCTCTCCTAAATTTGGATATTTTATTAGGGCTTGCCATATCAAAAGAATGAGAGAGTAGAAGCTCTGCCTCCATTCAATTGAATGGTGGCATCTATTGTTAGCCACATCAGAAAAAAGGATCTCTATACTTTATTAGGGCTTGCCCTATATGAACTAAACTTTTCAGAGATTTTCTTATGTTGAAGTAAGGTGCTGCATAGATGCTCTGCCCCTGTAATGACATCACAATCGAGCCTTCTGATTGGCTGAAGCTGTTACTGGGATCTGTAGCCTCATGAGTGACAGAACCAGGGGTTTTGTGTAATTCAAAATGGTACCCAGATTGTTCAGCTTTGTATGTCTTATACAAAGCTGAATTTGGTGGGTTGATAGCTGAGAGTTAACTCAACACATTCTGAACGCTAAACAGATGTTTAAGCTAAATGCTAATGCTAATTGAAAAAAAAAGGCTCTAATTCAGCCATTTTAAGACTTACAGAGCTGAAAACTGGTATAGTAGCAGCCAAGAACAAAGCACGTTTTGACAAGATCTGAATGCTAAAAAAATTTCAAGATGGCCAGCAAAGCCAATTTGAAACTGCAATAACTCTGCCATTATAAAACTTTTTAGCTAAAATTTAGTATGGCAGCAGCTACAAACAGTCAATATCACATACTGAAGCCAGATGCCATTTTAGACATATTCAGATGACATTTGGGATAGTAGTAGATGACAGTGATCTACAAATAATGAAATAAAACTAAATATAAAATGGATGCCACTTTACTTCTGCTGCCCTCTGAGTTAAATGACCTAGAGTGAGAGCTGTCTGGCTTTTAAAAGATTTTTTGGTGATCAATTTCTTCCTACAACCACAAATTTCATGATACATAGACAAAATATGTATCAAAACATAGGCATATTTGTCCTCTTTCAGCCAATATTTCTGGTTTTGCTGTTTGACAAATGGCTTTCTCTCAAAGTGTATCAGAAATCAGGGAAGTACCATCTTCCACCTTTCTCTATGTAAAATTTTCGTCATGATGCAGTCCATAAGTGAAGAAACACTTATTATATTTATATATTTATATTTATTTATATTTTACTTGTCATATCTCTGAGATAAAGCTCTGTACAAATTTGAAAATTTCCATGAGTAAGAACCAATCTCTCATTGTTCAAGAATTATTTCAATAGACCTTATTGTTTTCACACAGCAGCCATTTGTTTGAACTACGAAGGCAAACAATTAATTGACTTACGATTAATTGTTGAATCATGGTTTATTAGATTAAAATCTGTTCCAACTGATTAACTGATAATGTCTGCTGGTGCATCACATGGTCCATTTAAATTGCTCTAACCGGAAAGGTACGCCTTCTCCAGAACCGCGCTTATATGGGCCAGTAGACCCAAGGATAAGTTCTGAGCTCTGGAGAACAGAGTAGGGTGTGTATGTTCCAGCCACAGACAACAACTGGTATTCAGGTAGAACCACTTTCTTCTCAGAGTAAAAAAAATAAAAATAAAAATCTCTCATTTTAGCCACAAAAAGAACTAAAAATAAAGCAGCAAATAGTAAAGAATCAGAGAAAAATCATAAATTCTAAATGTAAATAAATTCTAATAATAATAATAATAATAATAAATTAATAACAGTTTTCCATACAAAGATTTTTTTTCATCTGTTTTTCCACCAGTCAGCAGCGTCCCGTTTTGTTGCATTTTATAAAAATGTCCAAGTTTAATATTGGGTGAGAAATCCAAATTTTTTTATTTATTCCATCAATATTTAATCTAGCTATCAAAATTAATTGTTTAAATATATTGATATGCTTAAATTTTTTAAGTCAGCATATTATATAAGATTAACCCTTTATGTTATGAAAAGACCCTCTTGATACATGAGAAAATTCAGGTTTTTAAGAAAATGGATACTTATCAATTAATTGTTAGTCGATCAATGAGATCAGTCAACTTTAGATTAATTCATTAATCGATAACTTACATCCCTAGTTTGAACTAAACTTATCAGAGATTTTCTCATGTTTAAAGTAAGGTGCTGGTACTCTGGCCTGAACGTGTAATGACATAACAATCGTGGCCTTCTGATTGTAAATTCAGATATTTATTTAAATGGGATGGCAAGGCCTTTCATAGTTTCTCCAGAAACTATTCTAGTTCAAACTATCATTTGAATTTTTTTAAATAAAAATTGAAAAGATGTTCAGTCCCAGAAATATCTGAATTTTTGTTATTCTTGTTCGCTACTTTGGAAATTTCACCAGCATGATCTCCTTTTTTATTTTTATTTTTATTTTTTTTGTGTGTTTCTGCCTGAAAGGGATTTATTTTATTGAGCAAGTGGTGGTCCATCCATTCCACTCAGTCCCGTTTAAAATCCCTACTGAGCTCATGGACGCCACATGTTCTCTATCATTAGTTTGTGTTCTGAGATGAACCATTTACAGAATACTGAAGAGCGTGAGCGTCGGGATAGAAATGCTGAGAGATTTCTTTGTGTTCTGTTCAAGACAGCTGTTGCTTTGAGTTTTTAGATTCTCAGAGGAATTTCATCTGCCAAATCTGTGTTTTTAAATATCAGACACTTGGAGATTCAGCAGCACTCTCACTAAACTAGAAATCCATCTGTATCTTATGTGATTAAATAATGATTGGAGCAGAAAAGCATATAAATCCTAAAAATGTTTGTTTTGTGACTGTTCAGATTGCTCAAAATACAGTAGTTTGCATGTATTACGGTCAATGTAAAACAAAAAACAACAAAAGAAAATGAAAGTTTTGAAGTGGAATTTAACTTTTGAACAACTGTTAAATCCATCAGACATCACAGAAATGAGAAAATAAAAATTCAAATTAAAAAATGTTTAGATTTTTTTGTTTGCTGAACTGACCTCAGTTTTAATCCTTTTAGGGGAGGGTTCATCTCTGTCACCACACCGAGACCTGCAGACAAACAGAATAAGAACCTATATTTAATTTGTGTACAGTGCCCTGAGACAACAGTTGTTGTGACTTCGTACTATATAAATAAACTGAATTGAAGTTAATTTTCTGCAAAAATTTGGTAAGGTGCTTTTTTAACTACTGCATAATTTAGGATTTTGTTGTTGAAGAACAAAAGCAACAAAAATGTTCTTTTTTTTTTTTACCTTTAGTTCAAACATAATCCATGTATGTGATGTGCATATAGTCACAATTAAATTTTTGGATCTTTTTAGGAGTAAATTATATTTGTTAAATGCAGAGAGAAGCCCTGTGTGGTGAATGCTTGCTAACTCTTACTTGCTGGTCCGGTAGGTGTATTTGTAGGTGACTTCTCTGGAAATTTGCCGGGCAAGACCAAACAGCTCATCCCGACGTGTAAGCAGAGCCATGTCTCTCATACAGAGCTGCGACGCGGCCTCATTCACTGTCAGCTGCACATTAAACACAGATAGTCAGATTAAACAAAATAAACTCAATCCAAATGTTCTACAAGATCAGTTTCTTCACACAGACGCACCTCATGCAGTGTCAGGTGTTTGCCATCTCTCCTCTTGGAGTCAAAACGTCCATAGATGGCGCTGTACTTCCGGATCTCCTCCTCCCTACGTGGGTCATCATCGCGCAGCTCAAAGATGTGTCCAATCATTTTGGCCAGCTTCTTGTTGGTCTTCAGTTGTTCTTTGACCTCAGACAGGTCTGATTTAGGAAGTCCTGGTGCCATCCTGTCTACACACTCCAGGACTGACTGGACTGCTGCACTGTCCAGAGACTCTAAAGCATCTCTGGGTGAGGATGGTGATCCTAGATCTGATGGTGATAGGCTGTGCTCGCTGTCATTGCTGTGACCCGACCAGAAACGAGCCTCGCTACTTCCCTGCAGGGGTGACACTTTGTCTCTTGCCATGTCCAGCTTCCCTGGGTCGGAGCAGGCAGCGGCCACAGCTTTTGGCACCTTGACACTGGTGGTGTTAGTACGGTCCTGGGTGCTGAGCAATGTGGGCGAGCCCTCAGGCAGCTTGTAGACAGGGATGCTGCAGACAGGCAGTGAGGTGAGTGGCTGGTTAAAGATGGCTGGATTGGTGACCCAGTCCCTCAGTGCCTTCTGCAGGCGCCGCACGTGCAGTGGCTTGCTGGCCATGCCCACAAGAGCCATGATCTCCAGGAACTCCTCCTCCCCTGCCTCACAGAGCTGCTGCACGTCGTCACCCCCCTGTTGGATAAAGGCCTCATAGTAATAGAGCAGGTTGGCCCGCTGAAGGATCCTGTAGAGCTGCAGCTCACCCAGGGTTCTGGGCAACACCGCTGCCATGCCTGAAGCATGAAGAGGGATAGAAATAATAAAATTACTTGTTAAGGATGTTCATGGCTGGAGCTCAATAATCAATCTGACAGTGAGTAAAGCGGCAGAAGTCAGAAGTGATGTCTTACAGCATCTTACCAGTCTGAGACTGTTGGAGATTAGCAGCATTCTCAAAGAGATTTCCAAAATGTCTCTAAAAGTTTGCAGATATTCACACCGCATGGCAGCCACAAGGTCTTGCTCTCATGTCATTTGAGTTTTGAACTTTTACAAAAATCATGCACCAAATCTTATTTTAAAAAATTGTTGCAAAGCCATTGCGGGAGCCTTTAGCAACTGCACAGAGGATCTTCTTTTAACAAGACATATCTGAGTCCATAGAACTGAATGCCCAGGTCTAAAAATCACACCTATACTCAATATAACTGTTATAAAACTGGTCAAATCTGCTGATATTCATTTCTGAAATGCACTCCAGTAGATTAAATCATATAGTGGGGCAGCTGCCAAGGTGTGGATAAAATGGGCTGAGGCAGGTATGAAAGTGGGCAATAAAATATTGTACAATGACATAATACAGGAAGCTGTGTACATAAAAATAGATCACCGTTTTTGTGATCTAATGTGGAGAAAAACATGCAAACATTAAAAATTCACTGAGAATACAACAGAAAATGTACCTAATTTTTTGCAAATTTATACACTTTGTTGAGTGTAAATATTACAGCTACTTCCTCTCCAAGTTCTGCTTTTATTGTAAAAACAGACGCTGATATAACAAAGTTCCTGAGATCTTTTACTGCATTTATAATCAAGTGTTATTAACATGCATTTGGTGCTACGTCTGCAGTGATGCGAGCCCTGTACCGGTCTGTCGTGGTAAAGCGGGAGCTGAGCCAGAAGGCAAAGTTCTCGGTTTACTTGTTGGTCTACGTTCCTACCCTCATGGTCACGAACTTTGGGTAGTGACCGAAAGAACGATATCGCGGATACAAGCGGCTGAAATGAGTTTCCTTTGCAGGGTGTCTGGGCTCTCCCTTAGAGATAAGGGTGAGAAGCTCAGTCATCCAGGAGGGACTCAGAGTAGAGCAGCTGCTCCTCCACGTCCAGAGGAGCCAGTTCAGGTGGCTCCTCTGGTTAGGATGCCTCCTGGACGCCTCCCTGGTGAGGTCTTCCGGGCATGTCCCACTGGGAGGAGGCCCAGGGGAAGACCCAGGACACGCTGGAGGGACTATGTTTCTCGGCTGGCCTGGAAACACCTTGGGATTCCTCCGGACGAGCTGGCCCAAGTGGCTGGGGAGAGGGAAGTCTGGGTCTCTCTGCTTAGGCTGCTGCCCCCGTGACCCGATCCCGGATAAGCGGCAGAAATGGATGGACGGTTGGATGGATGGATGGATGGATGGATGGATGGATGGATGGATGGATGGATTGATGGATGTATGGATGGATGGATTGATGGATGGATGGATGGATGGATGGATGGATGTTATTAACATATATTTAGATTTCATTCAAAGTTGGAGACATTCAACATCAGTTGCATGTATTTAAAAATATATTTAAATTTTACTGGGTATCATGTACTGCAAAGGGGAAGGCAAACTTTATGATTTGGAATGTGTGACTGTGTGTGTTTCTGTTTGTTTACCAAAATATTTCAGGAATGACTGGATTAATATTTAATGAGAATTGCAATAAGTAATCAATGGAAGTTCATTTATAACTGCTTAATCTTTTGAGTCAACACAATTCATGATAGCTGCCACAGCCAAAACTTTAAAAACACACACACAAAAATAGCTACAAATCAATTTTACATCCTTTTTTGGCATCCCTTTTTTTTGAAAGGCCTAATACTGTATGTTACCTATTATGTTCAAAGGTTTTCTCTTGCTAGTTTTTCCAATGGGTGCAACTCCTACATTGCTTTTTAAGGAATCTGGTATTTCCAGATGGTAAATGGTCTGAACATATATAGTGCTTTATCAAGTCCCTCTGGACCCCAAAGTACTTTACACTTACAGACATTCACACACACATTCACATACTGATGATGGTAAGCGACATTGTAGCCACAGCTGCCACTAGACCCTCTGACCACCATGCAAGGCAGGTGAAGTCTCTTGGAATGGGGGATTAACCCGGCAGCAACCTTCCGGTTACAGAATGATTCCTCTAACCACTGTCACCACAGCCCCAGGTGGTCTCCTATCCAAGTACTAACAAGGCCCAACCCTACTCAGCTTTTGAGATCAGATTAGATCTGGCGTGTTCAGGGTGGCATGGCCGGTATTTTACAAATATTGAGTGAAATTTGATGTGTTAGCTGCTGATATTTATTATTAACACATACTTTAAGCATGACATCTTATGATATTGAATAAGATCACAGATGACCTTAGAATTCCTTCTTCTGCTATTTGCAGATGATGTGGTTCTTCTTTGGATTGTTCTTTTTCATGTACAGTGCCCTGAGACAACGCATGTTGTGACTTGGCACTATACAGTATAAATAAATTGAATTGAATTGAATTGGTCCTGTTTACGTCATCTTGCCGTGATCTCCAGTACTCACTGGAGCAGTTTGCAGCCGAGTGTGAAGCGGCTGGGTTGAAGATCAGCATTGTCAAGTCTGAAGTCATAGTCCTTTGTCAAAAAAGGGTGGAATGCCATCTGGGTTGGGAATGAGGTGCTGCATTAATTGGAGGAGTTAAAGTATCTCTGACTTTTGTTCACAAGTGAGGTAATAATGGGATCAGATTGATAGGAGTGATTTCCAAAGTACTGAGTACTTTGAGTACTCTGTGTCTGTTGTTACGAAAAAGGATCAGGGCTGCAAGACGGAGCTCTGCTTACTGGTCAACAAGTGGTAGTTAATTGATAGATGGATAGATCATTTGATCCAATCAGTGCCTCATAAAATTATTTTCTAAATAACTTAAACTTAGCAATTTTTCTGCTTCACAACCACTAACGTCTTTCGACAAATGAAAACTCAGAGACGTGGGATATCTCAACTGGTTGTTTTAGCTCAGAATGTTTCTTTACATGGGCTACGTTCACACTGCAGGCACATCCGACCCAAATCCGATTTTTTTGACCCATCTGACTCATATCAGATTTTTTTATGACAGTCTGAACGCGACAAATCTGATTTTTTTCAAATCCGACCCAGGCCGTTTCAGTATGTGGTTTTAAATCGTATATCTGATGTTTTCAAAGTGACTGCAGTGTGAACGCTCATGTCACATTCATCTGACTTTTTATCAGTGAAGAGGGGGTGAAGGACCGATAAGACACTAACCTCAAGTCTCGCTGTTTAAATCTGTAGCTCCGTGTGTTTACAGCTCCAAAACACAAGTCCAGTTGCTTCATCTTTTTACTTTTCATTTTCCACGTAGATAGTATGATAATAACGATGTACAGCCTGGGTCGCGGAGAGTATCGATCCTAAAGTTCGATACTTGGTCGATACTTTTTTCCAGCTCGTAGTTTCGTTCAAAAAAAAAAAAAGCTTCACTGGAGCATCCCGGTCAGAGGCAGCTTCAGATATAAACACTGACTAAAGAAGCATGTCAGATAATAATTTAATCGGTTCTGATTAAACAACAACTTCTGATTCGATGCGCAAAATGTAGCATCCATGCTAGCTCTGTAAATAAACAAGCTGGCTGATGAGACGTCACGTCGTTTACTGCGCATGCATGTCACATCAGTGCTGTGTAGCGTTCACACAGGGGTCTGATGCAGGTCACATTTAAAATGTAATGTGAACGTTCACACAAAAAGATCGGATTTTTTTTTTTTCAAAAAATCGGAACTGAGCATTAAGACCTGCAGTGTGAACGTAGCCATAGACATATCTGTGAGTTTGTCAGTTTGTTCAGTTTGTTCCTGTCAGGTTAGTATTTATCCTCATCCTCTCTGTCTTCAGTTTCAATTCTTCACAGGGCAAAAACAGACTTCCTGCCAGACTTTTGTCACTCTAAACTGACGGAGAAAACAGATTTGCTTTCAACTTGTTCCTATGTGATGCTCTGCGGAGGCTGAACTGACTGAGGAGTGGCAGTCAGACAGCCTGGGTTGCTGGGAGGACCACATGCCTCTCTCCACCCCTGCAGGATGTGTAGGTGGTGGGCTCGCCTCACCCAGAATAGGCCCAGACACAGCCTGACCGAGCTTGGAAAATCACAGAGACAAAGACAATGCAAATATCTTTACTTTCATGAAAGTTCAGTTGCAACATGAAAATTAGGTACATGAAATTTTACAAGGTAAAATTATCTACCTGGTCTAGTCAGTTTGTTTCTAAACTAAAGGGAGATTTTCTTCAGTTCCTTTCCAAAAAAAACAGTCAAATTTTGATAAGCATTTTAAGGGAAATAAATATATGAACCAATTTATTCAGATCCTTCATAACACAATGATTTGTTCACTTTATTCAGTTGCTGATCTGAAAAGTTTCACCTTTATTCTAATCATTTTTACACAAAAAATCACTCAAGAGAACTAAATCTGCATTGGGTGCCAAAATAAAGACTCCTACAAGTTGTTTCTGAAAAAATAAAACCTTTGTTTTGTTTTTGGTTACATCTAAAACTAAAGAGGTAATTCTTGATGATTAATCTCCACTGAAACATGATGGTATGATCCAATGACATCACATAAAGGTTCCTTGCCTTTTCCTCTTTATTTCTGCTGAGTATTTATTTTGGGACCTATACTGAAGTTTTGTCTGTTATAACCACAGCAGCTTAAATGACACCCTGCACTGTCTAGCAGCAGATCAGAGCAGAGAAGAATAATTAACAGTGGCTCCTAAATTTGGGGTAGTATAACACCAACTTCAGTCCTAAGAGGAACTAGGTAAATCAAAATGAACTTCAATAAGAGAGTAGAGCCGCTGCTCCTCCACGTCCAGAGGAGCCAGTTTGAGGTGGCAGGGGCATCTGGTTAGGATGCCTCCTGGACGCCGCCCTGGTAAGGTGTTCCGGGCATGTCCCACTGGGAGGAGGCCCAGAGGAAGACCCAGGACACGCTGGAGGGACTATGTTTCTCGGCTGGCCTGGGAACACCTTGGGATTCCGCCGGATGAGCTGGCCCTAGTGGCTGGGGAGAGGGAAGTCTGGACCTCTTTGCTTAAGCTGCTGCCCCCGCGACCCGACCTCGGATAAGCGGAAGAAAACGGACGGACGGACAAACTTCGATAATGATAAACGCAAACAACAAAACAAAATGTTTAGGTTAAAGTTCATGCATCTTGAAATTTAGCATAGAAAACCACAAATCATGTCCAAAAAATTTAAGTTTTCCAAAAAGTATAACAATTTTGTTTACCTGGCACAAGAACAAAAAAAATCCTCCAGCTGAAAAAATTTACACACCGTTACTTTAATGGGAGCATCTGTCTCTCCTCTGCAACTGTGGTACCTTCACGTCTGCAAGTTGGTCACAATAGCCTGACCCCTGACCACATCCCATTAGACACTGTTGTTGTTTTTTTTTTTTACATTTTTTCACTCATTTGTCCTTCCCAAAAGAAGCAGACATGTGAAACTATCTTTTCTGTCATGTGGTTCAACTGATCAAAGGGCAATGCAAGGCTGACCAAAGATCAAAGATCATCTGACATGGGCTTCTGGTCTGAAAATCTTGTCAAGTTTTTTAAAGCAGCATGCCACAAATTTGCTTTAAACTGGTCAAAATTTGTCAAACAGTGGTTTGTGGTGATCAATCCCTGCTTAGAATTAATCAACTGAACAAAAAAGTATGTATTTACTATATTTTATATTTATTTTCTATTCTATTTCAACAAGGCTGAAAAACCTTTGTTTTTGATAAATAAAGGTTAATTACAGATTTTGGTTTGGCTTTACAACAACAGCAATGATCATAAGGAGAGCTGATAAGAACAAGGTGGAAACAATGTGAAATGTTATAAAGAAGGGTTTGGGGTGTTCTCAAGACACTTTTGTCCTCGGTTTTATGAATCTCTCAGAGAAGAAAAACTAATAATTCTGGTTTCTGAATCTTAAGGTTTACAACTCAGGTATTGACATTTTATCAGACTAAAATTTTGGCTGACTGGTTCAGAGAGACAGTTATTGAAGTTGTTTGTTCAGCTTCTCATAGTAAAAGGGGAGATTAAAGATGCTCTTGAATGGTGAATCAATTAAAAAAAAACTGACAAATTAAGATTTGTATGCAGGTGGATAAGTACAAGCAGCTAATATATGTCAGTAGTGATTTAATGTTGCATTTTAAATAAAAAAAAGTCCCAATTTTCTTTGCTTTTGGAGTCAGAACATGAGATTTTAATATGATATGTCAGTAAATTTAATTTTGGCTGGTTTTGAGTTGTTTGTCTTAATTACTTCTTACGAAAATGTAAAATTTGGCTCAGGAAGGAGCTTTTTGGACCTAAGTCTTAATCAAAAGGAGCAATGAAGAAAGTGTTGTTTGTTTGGCTGTAAAAGCTGAAACTAAATTTAGGAGAAGAGTGACCATGGAGCTCTGCAGAACACAAACTGACCTTCCTCCCAGCTTCTGAATAAGCTTTATTTAAAAAAACAAATCAGTATTAAACCTGTTCACAATAAAAACACTTATCTTGTGAGTTTCAGCTGCAGAAACAAGGCTTGCACTGACAGACTTAAAGCTTGTTTTAAACAAAATTCCCTCAGAGGAATCCTTTGATCTCACATTCAGCAGACATTCCTACTTTCCTCCACAAGGAAGGATCCCATGTTGATCTGCAATGGTGTGTGATGCTTTGAATAATAATAATAATAATAATAATAATAATAATAATAATAATAATAATAATAATAATAATAATAATAATAATAATAATAATAATAATAATAATAATAATAATAATAGGTACTCCGTTTCTTCAAGTAGCTAAAAATAACAGAGAAGCCCAGCAGTTCGCAACGACAGGAAAGCATCAGGAAATAATTTTTTTGAAGAGACTTTATAAACTGTGCTGCTCCACTCAGATAAAAACCTTCAACCTCCACAAAAGGCTTTAAACTTGATCTAATGTTATTTCTTTATAACTCGGAAATCTGTGTGAATCTCAGAGAACAATAACACATTTGATCTTATGACTTTTGTTTTTGTCTCTTTAGAACGTTTTCATGTGTCTAACTTGTAGTAATAATCTCAAGGAAATTTTAATGCCGAGAGAACATGCTAGTTTACATTTCATCTAATCATATTTCCACACATTTCCTTCAATATTCTCCCTTATGGAAACATATTCGCTGACTTGATTGTTTTCTCTGCAAAAGAATCCAATAAAAATAATCAGTAGCACTGAAACAGGAATAAATCCAGGTTAGCCTACCTGCTGAGATATGGCCCCCCTTTGGTGCGCCCTAGTTTGAATATTCGTCCTTTTCTTTTTCCTCCTCCTCCTCCTCCTCCTCCTCGGTGTTTACCAACGCAAACCTGGTGTGTCCGTTTGTGAAGAGGGCACAACAAATCCTGCAGGAGGAGCGGGAACGTAAAAACACTAATATGATTTTAGAGAAGAGATAAAAGACAGAGCGTCTGTGCCGGTTGTCTTCTTCCTCAGGACTGAAAGACACGCCTCCTCTTCTTCGTTTTCTCTTCTGTGTGTGAAACTTTTTCTTCAGCTGCTGAAAAAAGAATCTGCAGATTATCAGTGATGATGATCTTTGCGCGTCTTTCTACTCCAAGGGTGCGTTGTGTGTGCGTGTATGTATGTATATATATGTCTCTTTGCTCCCGTGCACTTTTAACAAAGGTCAAACCACAGTCGCACATACTCGCACACATGCTTCCTCCTTTACCTAACAAAATAAAAGCATCACTTGAATAAATAGAAAGTTTTGATCAAAATCAGAAAGATTTTATGCAAGTGATTATTTTCAAAGTATACACAAACAATATAACAATATAAATATAAAACTACATGATTATTGGTTATTACTAATTAAAGAATACACACTATTTTTTGTTATTTGATTTAATTTAATACAGAGTAAAACAAACAATGGATGTCAGCAGCTGTCAGCTACTCATTATATTTTTAAACGCAAAAAGTGTTTCATTTCTATTTCACTTTGGATTGTTTTCATTTGGCTTGGCTTCGTTCAGGTAAAAAAAAAAAAAAAAAAGAAAAAGAAAAACATATCCAAAAATATTGTGCCTCCTGAATAGAACGAGTGAATGAATTTATTTGTGGTCAGATAGGCCTATACCATTCCAACACCCTGTTGGTTTGTACGATCCATCACACCTACACAAATCTTGTCAGAACATATCAGCAGTATGTAGCCTAGTATTGACCCTTTGCAGCTATGTCACTGAATCACGTGGGGACGCCATATCGGACATCAGAAGTGAGGAGTATTGAACAGAGTGACTG